GCTCACGGGCCCAGCCGCTCCGCAGCATGTGGGACCCTCCTGGACCGGGGCACGAACCCGTGTCCCCTGCATCGGCAGGCGGACTCTCAACCACTGCGCCATCAGGGAAGCCCTCTCCAAACTCTTTTGATAATGTACCCCTACCAGTAAAAAATAATTTGAGACTGCACTGCCAATATATGCATATTTACTTATTTACAGATGTGCTATTAGCTAATATAGTAGGTATCTTATATAAGAAACTTTAAAAATGGAGAAACATAAAAGAACAGCATATAAATAGAAGTTTGGCTATTTTTTTCCTCCATGCACCAACAGATGTCCTGGCACACATCCCCTCCACAGCCCCCCACATGGGGTCCACTCTTCATGCTAGAGCATGGTGTAGTGACAAGAGTGCAGCCTCCATGGTCAAAAGGACTTTGCTTTGAATGTTATTAGCTCTGCCACATACTAGTGCTTGATGCCTTAGGATAATTCATTCATGTTCAAGCCTGCTGCTCCATCTGTAAAATGGTAATAAATAATATCCATCTCCTACAGTAATATGAATCAAATAAGGTATATGTCTTCTGTACAAAAGTCATCCAACAAGGCCTGGTACAAAAGTGTAAATTCACTGTTATCAACCTCCACTACTCCCTCAATTCCGCGTTTTTTATCATTTCATTTTATCTCTCTCTCTAACTGCTATTTCAAACCTTCTCTGCTCTTCCAAACCTCAGTCAACCTACTTCCCCCATTATTCTTAGTTGTTGATCTCACATATAATTTTAGGGAGAAATCAGAAGTCACTTCAACTTTCTGCCAAAGCTATAAACACAAACCTGCCTCTATACACATAACTTCTCAACTTTCAGTCATTTAACAAATATTTATTGAGTACCTTTTAAGGGTCAGACACTGCTCAGACACCAGGTACTGGTGATGGATTAGTGAATAAAACAGATAAAGTTCATGCTGTTGTACAGCTTATATTCTAGGGATGGTATAAAAAATGACTATGGGAGGAATTATAGAATGATGTGCCATGGAGAAAAATACAGCAAGGTAAGGTTTAGAAGGAATGCAGGGATAGGGTTTTGCTATTTTGGAGGAATTGGTCATGGAATGCCTGAAAGGTACTCTTGAGCAGAGACACAGAGACAGCAAGAAAATGAAGGACCTGGCCATGCAGTTATCTGTGAGAAGAGAGTTCCAGATCAAGGCCCCTGAAGGAGACACATACTTAGTGTGTTGACAGAACAGCAAGGAAACCAATGTGATTAAAACAGCATTACAGAGGGTCAGAGAAGTGGTGTGAGGCCAGGCCATGTGCAGCCTTTTAGGTTACAGTAGAGAATTAGGTTTTTACTCTGAGTGAACTCAGATATGACAGCAAAGTTCTAAGCAGAGGAATAATATGAACTGTCTTGTGTTTTGTTTTCATTTATTTATTAGTATTTTTTTTTTTTGCGATATGCAGGCCTCTCACTGTTGTGGCCTCTCCAGCTGCGGAGCACAGGCTCCAGACCCGCAGGCCCAGCGGCCATGGCTCACGGGCCCAGCCACTCCGCAGCATGTGGGATCTTCCCGGACTGGGGCACGAACCCGTGTCCCCTACATCGGCAGGCAGACTCTCAACCACTGCGCCACCAGGGAAACCCTGTCTTGTGTTTTGAAAGGATCACTCTGGTACTGTGCTGAAAATATACAGAAGAGGGCAAACACAAAAGCAAGGAAATGTGCTGAGAGGGTACTGGACAAATACCAGCAGGGATGCTGGTGGCTTGGACCACGGTGGGAGCATGGAGGGACACGAGCTAACACTTGGGTGCTCTGAGGGTATGGCCTACAGAATTAGGTGATTGATTGGGTGTGGCGTCTGAGAGAAAAAGAGTAGCCAAGGGTGACTCCAAGATTTTGACCTGAACAAGTGGAAGGATGGAATTGCCATTATTGAGATGGGAAAAATGTAGGAATAGAAGGATTTGGGGAGCAAGTAGAAAATCAGAAGTTTATTTTCAGGTACTTGGAATTTGAATTTGAAATTCCTATCAGATGCCAAATAGGAAGCTGGAAAGGAGTCTGGAGTTTAGGAGAGAGGATCAGGCTAATGAGTAATTTGAAAGCGATGAGATAGTATATAAAGTCATAATGTAGGGCTTCCCTGGTGGCGCAGTGGTTGAGAGTCTGCCTGCCGATGCAGGGGACACGGGTTCGTGCCCCGGTCCGGGAAGATCCCGCATGCCGCGGAGCAGCTGGGCCCGTGAGCCATGGCCGCTGAGCCTGTGCGTCCGGAGCCTGTGCTCCACAGCGGGAGAGGCCACAGCAGTGAGAGGCCCATGTACCGCAAAAAAAAAAAAAAAAGTCATAATGTAGATAAATAAGAGAAGAGGTCCAGAGATTGAACTCTGGGATAATCCAATGCTTTAGAAGTTCAGGAGATGATGAGGAACCAGCAGAGGAGACCTAGAAGGAGCTGCCACTATAAATAAAAATAAAATTATTTTGATGAGAAAGGAGGTGAGAATATTCTAGAAAGAAAACTATGGCATGGTGTACACAGGAAACCATGTACATAAGAACTACTAGAGTACCAAGTGAGGAGTCAGAAATTTGGACAAGAGTCATCGTTGCCAAACTAGGGAGACTGGTCTTCACTCTGTGGGATGGGCAGAGTCACTGAATAGACACAAACAGCAGAGCGAAGGATGGATTTTTGCAGAATTCTCCAAAGGGAATGCAGGCAAGATTGTCAAGGGTGACACCACAGAGAAGACTGCAATGTCTCAGATGACAGAGATGACCAAGACTCTGAATTAGGGCAGGGATGGAAAATAAAGAGAAAGGGGCTTGAACTGAAAAAGAAAAATTAGGAAGTGCAAACATTTCCAGGATTTGGATGCTGGAGGAGGCGCAAGAATGCCAAGCTTCTGGCTCGAATGACAACATGGTTGGCAGTGGCATTAACCCGTAGAAGAAACAGATGAGTCACGGTTTGGGGAAGGAGAGGGTGGTGGCTTCAGTCTCAGATGTGTTGTGTTTGCAGTGTCAGTGCAGTGATCAAGAAGCTACGTTTGGCAGGGAGATATATAAATTTGAAATTCGTAGGAGAGGTCAGGCTAGAAACAGATCTGGGACATGTCAACACAGAGGTCACAGGCAAACCACCAGAGTGGATGAGATGACCTATGATAAAGGTCAGCATTTTCCTTCAAACCTACCACTAAGGCCAGGATGAGGGTAAGAAAGATGATAGGAAAGAAGAGAACATGGTAGGAGGGAGGAAAAAAAGTAAGTAGAGAGAAGAAGACAAAAAGGCTAATATATATATAATGCATTCTAGGCCAAGCATGCCATTAACACTGTGCAAATATCTGTGGTTTTGTTTTTAATATCCTTTCCCAGTTCATACAGCATATTTATTGGCCTTTTTGACCACAGCCGCATTTCAAACAGATTACTTCAGGAAACAATTCTAAGTGATGCCTAGACTTCTTTTTTTTTTTAACGTTAGCCTACTAAAACTACATTATTATTACTGGAGCAGAGTTTATTTCTATTCAACACCATGTACTAGACTAAGTGCCAAGGGTACAAAAAGGAGTAAAACACAGTCCTCTGCTTCAAGGATATTTAACCAGGATTAAACACCCAGAAACGGGCTTCCCTGGTGGCGCAGTGGTTGAGAGTCCGCCTGCCAATGCAGGGGACACGGGTTCGTGCCCCGGTCTGGGAAGATCCCACGTGCCGCGGAGCGGCTGGGCCCGTGAGCCATGGCCGCTGAGCCTGTGCATCCGGAGCCTGTGCTCCGCAACGCGAGAGGCCACAACAGTGAGAGGCCCGCGTACTGCAAAAACAAACAAACAAAAAAAACCACCCAGAAACAAAAAGTTCGCCAGAATGATCTTTTCAAAATGCATATTTGAACATATAACTCTATTTAAAACCTTCTGTAGCTGAAACTGCTAGTTGTCCTCCAATATCTACTCCTTCTAATGTGGTTAACATGGCCAATGAGAATAAAGACTAAATTTCCAGTCTTCTGTGCAATTAAATGTGGCCATAAAACTAAGTTCTAAACGTAAGTGGAAATGGCATCAGCAACTTCCAGAAAGTCCTTAAAGAGAAGGACATTTACTTCTACTCTTCTTTTCTACTTTCTCTAGCCTGCTGTCTGGAATGTAGACATAACGGCTGGAAATGAAGCAGCCATTTTAGGCCAAGAGGTAATATTGGGAACGGAGGCTATACATGTCAGAGCAACAGGATAGGAGCCTGGGTACCTGACAGCTGTAGACTAGCTACACTTTGAAAGTAGAGAAGATTGGGCTCCCCGGTGACGCAGTGGCTAAGAATCCACCTGCCAATGCAGGGGACACGGGTTCAAGCCCTGGTCCGGGAAGATCCCACATACCGCGGAGCAACTAAGTCCGTGTGCCACAAATACTGAGCCTGTGTGCCACAACTACTGAAGCCCGCACACCTAGCGCCTGTGCTCCACAACAAGAGAAGCCACCGCACTGAGACGCCCATGCACGGCCCCCACTCGCTGCAACTAGAGTAAGACCGCACGCAGCAACGAAGACCCAATGCAGCCAAAAATAAAGTAATTAATTAATTTTAAAAAAAAGAAAGTAGAAAAGATTAGTTAAGTCGTTAATTTGTTGTTGTTTCTGGTGGCTGACAGCCAACTAATGCACCATTAGTATGACAATTATAATAGAAATATGTCTACCTTCAGCTCTATCTTTTTATCTATCTATCCATCCATCCATCCTTGTGTCTGACTCTAAAGTAGAAATGGAATGTATAACATATTTAATATTGTAAATACTCATCCAGTGCAAAAATAATACTTATCACGTGAAAATTCAAGTATTTAATTAACACATTAATATAAAAAATCACTACACTAAGTTTGCAACATTAATAAAAAGACATAAAACTCATTCTTCAGACATCAGTATTACAGACTTCCATCTTTAGGAAATAACTATACTAATATTTTAACTTACTTCTTTTGAAGGATTCATTGGTAATGTAAAGATAGTTTTCCAATACGACCAGACAAACATTGCAAAAAGTAGATGATAAGCAATCAGGCACACAACTAAAATGAGAGAAACAAAATTATCACTTTAATATGCAAGTACATACTAAAATCATGGTATTCACAAAAGATGTGCTTGTTCTAAAATAACCAAATAATTTAATTATTTAATTACTTACTATCCCATGATTAGAACCCTCCCATCTGTAGACAAGCCCATCTATCGGCAAAATGGCTACGGGGACCTCTCCTAAGTTGTAAAAATAAGGCAGTTATGCCTGCAACTTTAAATAATAAACAAAGTGTTAAACGAGCATTAAAACATTCAGGCTGTAAGAACTTTGCTTCACTAACAAAGAATAGCAAAAGCAGTTCCTGCTTGAGCTGTTTGCCTATTTTGCTCAGCTCGAGTCAAATCTGGTGGTCCTGTTTCAAGGACAGTAGTTTTAAACAGAGATCTTCTGAACAAAGATTTCCTCCAAGAACAGTTCAAGTTTCTTACTGATCACATGGGACAATTGTTAACAAAAGCATTCTGAATATTTTTTAAGGGAGTGTACATAAACACACTTCGTGTGGTATTTTAGTCTTGAAGTCCTGTGCAAAGCTGAAATATTAACTTTGTATACAGTGATAATGATTAATTCTGGATAATACATTAGTATATAACTTACTTGTGTAAGATACAGTTGAATAAAATATGCTAATTTAACTTAAAATATAGCATGTTTGGTATTTTTAAACCTTAACAGCAATTTTAGCTTTTTAAAAGAAGCTGATATTCCTATTATAGAACCATTAAAACATTCAGTTACCTCATAAGGCACTTAAATCGGTGTGAGATGACTAGACCCAATGATATTTTTCATGAATTATCTACGTGACTCAGGTATGAGGTCAGATTCTGAGTTGAAACAGGAGATTGTTGATATTCCAGTTATCTTGGAGCCATAAGAACCTTGGCACAGTGACTGCCATTTCAGGGTCAAGTTCTCTGCCAAGCATCTGAGAGAATTCAGTCTGGGGACTTAAGAGAATGAGACGCCTTTAACCCATCCTGACTCCAACATTCTCCAAGTATGACTTACTCCAACCAAATCAAAATGAATGCTATTTGTTTTCTCCAACGATTTTTAAAATTTTAGACTGAAGGCAGTGATATATCTTACCTTGTTCTCCAATATTTTCCATGGACACTATAGAAATAAATAGAGAAAAGAGACAGGCAATAGGTTATAAGAAGCTTATGGCAAACAGAGGGCCTGATAGAGACAGAAGACGCTTGAGTAGGTTAATAATGTGGCTCCTTTTCAAACCAACGTTCTTTAAATATTTGTTCAACCTTGTTTTGAGGAGGGACGAGCACTACGGGAGACAGGTGGGGAGGGAAGGCGGGTGGCCGCCCTCCACCAGGCCCCCGCTGGCGCTCCAGCCCTGTCTCCCACGCAGAAAACTAACCCCGCCAAGCGTGGCCCTGGCGGGTCTCACTCCTTTATCGATCGGTTTCTCGGGTTTCCTTCCAACTACAGAGCTCGGATGAAAGCTCTCCAGCTCATCACATTGCCAGCGACACTGATTGCTCTTTATAAGTTGGCAACCACCGAGTTAGCTTTCCAGAAGGGAAAAAATGTTGTGTCCATGGCATACACTTCTCTTGCCGTATTTCTGAAAGGATGAATTCTTATGCCCGATGACTAACTGCTTCCTACTGTACAACAAGGGGCCCAGACCACGTGCCCGAGAAACTGCCATCCCTGAAGGGCTGCTGTAAATATCGCAAGGTGGCAGGTAGATGCAGGAGAGGGACCACAGAGCTCAAACAAGCTGGGACAAAAAGCCCCACTCCAGCAGTTTTCTTGCCTTCTGTTTGTCTACTTGTTTTGTTTCCCATGTGGTGGTCATTGCATTCCATTTGTACTAAAGTCTTCAGGAAGCTCTGGCCTATCTCAGTTGTAGCAAGGGAAGATTTGACTTTATTTACATAGTTTCGTTCCTCCTTGGCTATTTAAAGGGGTACAGTATTCTGGGCCTTTGTCCTGGAGTATCTTTTCATTGCCTTAAGAAGCACTGAAATCAGAGGGTAATGTTGTGAGAGATTTTTAAGATTACCTGATCCAACCAACCTCCTTCACAGGAGAGCTACCGTTTAGCCATTTCTAGAGTGAGCAGGAGACACCGTTTTGGAGAGCAGCCCACTCCCTTCCTGGATTGCTCTTAAGAATGACTGTACGGGGCTTCCCTGGTGGCGCAGTGGTTGGGAGTCCGCCTGCCGATGCAGGGGACGCGGGTTCGTGCCCCGGTCTGGGAAGATCCCACGTGCCGCGGAGCGGCTGGGCCCGTGAGCCATGGCCGCTGAGCCTGCGCGTCCGGAGCCTATGCTCCGAAACGGCAGAGGGCACAACAGTGAGAGGCCCGCGTACCGCAAAAAAAAAAAAAAAAAAAAAAAAAGAATGACTGTACGATCAGAGGGTGCCGAAATGAGCCTCTTGTGGCTTCTACCTATGGAATCTAGGCTTCCAATCTCTAGCAATAAACAGAAAATCTAAATGGCAGAACTTCACGTGTTCTCTTTTAACCTAAAAAATAGATGATTTTGGGCTTCCCTGGTGGCGCAGCGGTTGACAGTCTGCCTGCCGATGCAGGGGACGCGGGTTCGTGCCCCGGTCTGGGAAGATCCCACGTGCCGCGGAGCGGCTGGGCCCGTGAGCCATGGCCGCTGAGCCTGCGCGTCCAGAGTCTGTGCTCCGCAACAAGAGAGGCCACAGCAGTGAGAGGCCCGCGTACCGAAAAATAGATGATTTCCAGATTTCTCACCAACCTTGATGTGGCTCCTTTAAATATTTCCTGGTCTCTCAATTTCCTTTTACCTTTCTGATCCCCATGATGGGACAGGCAGACACAGGTGATATCTGACTTACAAATGGCCTGTTCCACAAGTGCGCTTGTCCACCAGAGGCGAGAGTCATAGTGCACTTTCTCATAGAATACGTGAAGACGTTAATGTGAGGCCCGAGGAAGGACCAACCTGGCTTTTCTGTCTGACCTCCACCTCTCCCTTCATGAATTTCTCTCCAGGCTCTGACTTCCCTGTCTTCAAAGTGCTCCAAAATTGACTACAGCTCTTCCTTGGATCAACATTTCTCCTCCTTCAGCTAATCTAATGAAATGCAAAAGCATTTTTAATTCATTCGTGCATTTATATAGGAATGACCCTTAATGACCATTTCAGAGGTGCTGGTGTTTTAAAGAAAATGTATTTGCTAACCCATGACTCTAGCTGTCAGAAGTGAAACAGTAAAACAAAATGACATTTAAAAAAAGAAAAAGTACAGTTAGTATGAGGTGAGAAGTTTTTTTGCCCTGGACCATTATTATATTGACTGGATATGCATTCAAAGACATCTTTTAAAAAGCTATTTCTGCCTTTCACAGTTTGTTTTTCTCTTAATATACTTCAGAATTCACAGATCTTCTTCTTTTTTTTTTCATTTAAACAAGTTACTCATGGATGCATGCTTATGGTAAATAATTCTGATAACATTTATAGAGTTAAATGTGAAAGTCCAAAAAGGCTGTATCAATTACACTCCCCCAAATTGTGAGCCTATCCAATTTCCTATGAATGTAAAATGTCCTTTTTTTCCAACATTTTAGGCCAAAATAAAAATCACTGTTTTAGTATTCATTTCCTTGATTACTAGTGAACTTTAAAAATTTTTTATTAAAAAATAAAATGATTGGCTTTTCCAATCTCTTCTGATTAAATTACCACTTTCCCATTGGTCTACTTCTCTTTTACTTATTGAGAGCCTTTTATATAGTACTCTGGGAAGTAATCCCATATTTGTTACATATGTTCCAAATAAAGTTGTGTATAACTACTTTCAAATGACTTAATAGGTTAGGGGCTTCCTTGGCGGTCCAGAGGTTAAGACTCCACACTTCCAACGCAGGGGGCGCAGGTTTGATCCCTGGTTGGGGAACTAAGATCCCACATGCCGCATGGCGCAGCAAAAAAAAGACAATAAATACTAGCAAAATCTTATGGTTTATCCCTGACTAAACAGCAGTATCAAAACTTTCAAACTGACCTATTTCACTAACAGATATATGGACTAATACTTGGTTTTGCTTTATGATCTTGAGGAAATTAATGTTCTTTCAACCATGTTTACTTGTTTAGTGGGTCAATGGTTCACCTTGTAATTTTCAATTTAGTGGAAGAGTTGTCAATTTCTCAGACAAAACCACAATACAATGTTATTTTCTATTTTGTTCATAAATGACTGTTTAAGAAAAGGTTATAATTTAGCCACATATGTTCCCAATACATATGTATATAAAGATAATATATGGGAAATACAGACTCATTTTTGGAAAAAATAGATGGTAAGTCAAATAGATGGTAAGTCAAAAATAGATGGTAAGTCAAATGTAATTTGACTATTTACATCAACATGAGAATTAAATAGCAATACTGATCATATTTATGACAGATCTTCCAAAGATCTACTGGGTTTTAATGTGAATTTTGAGTTTTATTCAGTATTATTTAATTTTATTATTTCACAGAATTTCAGTTTGGTCTATTTAAAAACTATGCTTGATACGTATTCTCCAACTACACACATATAGAAATTTCAAATCTTTTATAACCATCTTTAACATATTTTCTAAAAATGACTTTTGAGGTAATTTAATATAGTTATTTCTATTTTTATTAAAAGAAAATTGAGGCAGATGCGCTTTACTCCAAGTCACAATGAGCAGCACATTAGTTAATTCTATCTGAGAAATTCTTTTATTTTCAATTTTAAAGTTTTACGCATGTGACAAAAATATTATGATTTGGGCTCTGCTGGATCTTATTAAAATTAGTTCCTTATTAAAGCACAATAACTGGCATAGAGCATTTGCCCCATAAATGTTTACTGAATAAAAAGGACAGAAAGGGCTTCCCTGGTCGCGCAGTGGTTAAGAATCTGCCTGCCAGTGCAGGGGACGCGGGTTCGAGCCCTGGTCCGGGAAGATTCCACATGCTGCAGAGCAACTAAGCCTGTGCACCACAACTACTGAGCCTGCGCTCTAGAGCCCGCGAGCCACAACTACTGAAGCTCGCGCGCAGAGCCCGTGCCACCACAATGAGAAGCCTGCGCACCACAACGAAGAGTAGCCCCTGCTCTCTGCAACTAGAGAAAAGTCCACGCGTAGCCAAGAAGACCCAGTGCAGCCAAAAATAAATAAAACAAATAAATTTATTTTTAAAAAAAGACAAACAGAAGAAAACACCATTAATTTGAATCATAAAAGTGGAATCCCAAAGCACACCTATATGAGAAATGTTAATTCTTTCTTCTGTTGACTCGAAAATTTCAAGAACCAAGTTATTTCTTTTACCTGTCATCTTAGCACACTGTAGAAACTCAACTAGTAATTTGCAAAACCAAGAGTAATCTTATCTGTATTGCCTGCTAGCATACATCCCCAGAAGTGAAGACAATACCTCATTGCACAAAGGAGACAGAGACGACCAAGTGGTTCATGATCCTCGAAAAATTAAAAGCTTGAAAAAGACACTGGCTTCAACTTGGCTTCAAGCAACTTTAAAAGAAGATAGAAAGGTTTTACACGTTTATAGGGTTTTTCCCTCCTAATTTTGGCTCTTCCGTAGTATTTTACTTTTTAATAGTTCAGTTTGTCAAAGTGAAGAAGAATCTTACTAAGCACAACCAAACTAAAGAGCAAAGGCTCTGGATAAAGACCGGCAAAGCTCCAGCCTATTTCTGCCACTTGCTGGTTGACACAGTGATTCTACATATTCCATCATGAAGTGAGGGTAGTAATAACAACAGCAATATCATCAGAGCTGTTGTAGAATTCAAAGAGGTAATACATGTAATGTACCTAACATAGTACCTGGCACACAGTAAGCCCCCCAAATATACAAGCAATTATAATACATGATATTTAATTTTGCAAACACTAACTGTAATAGATAACATACAGGAAAGGGGACTACAAATTACAAAGAGACAAGTAGTATTTGTACAGACCTCTGAAAGACATCAATGCAAAATTCTGACTAACAATAGACTTTACAAAGTGAAAAATAAAAGGTGAAAAATAACTTAGATCTCCATATCTTGCCTTTTTATATAGATGTGTCATCCCAGAAATGTGATAAATAAAAATGGTG